CATTGGCAAGCAGTGAAAAGAGTGTTTCGTTAGATCAAAGGAACGATGGACTATGGTCTTTTGTTTACTGCAAATGGAAAAGATTCTGATTTGTGTTGTTTTTCAGACGCCGATTGGGGTGGTGATGTGGAGACAAGACGTTCTACATCAGGGTATGTTTTTCAGATTCAAAACAGTACGATAAGCTGGTGCAGTAAACGACAGACATCTGTATCAAGATCTACAACCAAAGCCGAATATATTGCTTTGAGTTCAGCTTCACAAGAGTGTATCTGGCTAAGAAGATTACTGAATGATATTGAATTGTTGAAACCTGTTCCTACAACAATTTACGAAGATGATCAAGGAGCCATTCAATTGTGCAAGAATCCGAAATTTCATAATCGCACAAAGCACATTGACATATCATATCACTTCATTAGAGAGCAAGTTAATAAGAACGCAATATGCGTAAAGTATTGTCCTACAGAATCAATGATTGCTGACATTATGACTAAACCATTAAGCAAGCCTACATATGAACGTTTTAGAGATCTTCTTGGTGTAAAACAAATTTAACTTAATAAGTAATTTAGTTGATCGTTAAGTGGGAGTGTTAAAAGGAAATGACATCACAGTGTATAACTCTCAACTAGATTGTTAATCATGTGACCTATGTACTTGTTGTTCTGCCTTATAAAAGAGGGCACATGTTATGTTAAAATATATTCTCAATCGTTATGTTGTTAAACTCTTTTATGATTCGGTAAAACCTAATGTTCGGTAAAACCTAAAAAACTAACAATTAAAGCAAGAAATTCGAAATATGTTGTGAATTATTTCGACTTAGACGAAGATAATGGAACGGATTATATTTATTTGATCTTAGACTTAGGTGAAGAATCACTGGTAAAGTTTGTGGAAGATTCTACTTTGCATGATCTTCAAAAAGCTCTTCCTGATATTCTTAGACAAATTTTAAAAGGATTAGCTGATCTTCATAGCGCCCAAATCCTATTCTACATCGGGATTTGAAGCCTTCCAATGTTCTGCGAGTCTCAAAAAGCCAATTTCTGATAGCTGACTTTAGCATAAGTCGAATAATTAAAAATGACTCAACAACATATAAAAGTAATTCTTCCATGGAAACCCTGCATTGGATAGCTCCTGAATCATATCGCGACGATGATGAATCAGTTAAAAAAGCGCGCTACAATGGAAGGTCTGATGTTTATGTAAGTGTAGGAATGTAAACATTTGTAAGTTTCAATGTTGTGAAATTGCCTTTTGTTGTAACGCTTTTTATTATTTTAGAATGCATGGATGGTAGCTTATTATGTTGCAACAAAAGGGAAACATCCTTTTGGAACTAAACCCTACAGACTGATTAACATGTTAAATGGAAACCCAGTTGGTTTGAATGAAATCGAGGATGAAACATTAAAGGACCTTCTGTCGTGGATGTTAAATCTAAAACCTGAAGACAGACCATATTCTAACGAAGCATTAAAGCACCCATTTCTCATGTCAGATGATGAGAAGTTTGAAATGTTAAGTAAAGGTGGAAATCTTCAACAGATTAAGACAAATGTTCCCCAGGCAAGTGTCGTTCAACAACTAAATAGCGAATCCGTAGATTTGGAAAGTCAAATGGGTAGTGATGTTTATGATTATTTGGTGAATGGAAGGACCTATAAATCTTCATAGACAAAATGCTTAAGACTGATTCGAAATATTGACCAGCATTGGAAAGATCTAACATGGGAAAAACCACAACCAGAACCATTTTATAAGATTGGTGATTACAAGGCGTATTTTCTCCGAACATTTCCTAATCTCCCTGCTCGGGTACATGGTGCTGTCAGGTCAAATGAAGAATTGGAAGACGAACTAGAACTCTAGAATATTTTATATTTTAATGAAAGCGAACTACATCAATAAGCAATTTAGATACAACAGAACCTGTTAGGGGTGAAAAAAGTTGCTATTAAGAAGTAATTGATACCGTAGAAATCTAATTTTATAGATATAAAGATAAACAGTTTCCACGACGTATTTAGATGATATTTCACCACATTTCTGCTTAATCTATAGCCTGTGGTACTCATTGATACAATGTAATATACCTCATTATTTAATTTTTACTGTAAATTGTTTTGGGAAAAGAGTGAAGGCGAATATGACATTAAAAGTTAACTTTTATGTTTAGCTGCACTGATAAAAAATTGTATTTCTGAAATTACTATAAGTACTAAAAGTCTGGTATTGGTGTTTTGAGCTCTTGGGAGCTCCTTATCGTATAAACCTGACCATCAGAAGTTGTGCAAAATTCCATAAGTAGAATCTTTTGTGTTTTACTATCTCACATTAATTACGTAGCTGAACTATATAAAATAGTTGAATTAAATAATATTTTCATGACATTAAGTGATTAACAGCATTTCGTGTAATAATTTGTAAGTGGACTCAATAATATTTTAATTAGTTTTATATAAAAATATTCATAGTTTTCCTCATTTTCTGATATTTTGCTTATTTCATGCGCTGTAACCATGACAAATATTTCGTGCCTAAATCCGCACAGCCAAAATGCAAGTGCTGTGTATTTAAGATTTCTTAAATGAATATTAAATATACACATAAATACATGTAAGGTTAACTACGGTGCTCTCTATTGCCTATATTCTAAAAACTCTCTCACACTCACATTTATTGAATAAAGTTTCAAAATAATCTTATAACTGCTGGAAGACCTTGTATTTACTCCACAGATAGAAAATAGTGCAAAGTTATTTTAATTTTATCATCTCAGATCAAATATCATCTGGTAGGTATCCGCACATTAATGTCACATGAAAGCACTCAGTATTAGTTGTGAGAGTTTTAGTTTAAAGTTTTGTTAATCATTTATATGAATTTTGAGCTTTTGGGCTTTTTTATTTTATTGAATTAACCTCGCAAAGAGCATACTATAACAACAAAAGAACGTAAATAACTTCTAAATGACAAAGAACAATGCTACAGCTTTCTCCAGTTACTGCAGCCTTTTAAACACAATGTTGCAATCATTAAAAACAACACGATTTATATAATGTATAATAAGTGCGAAAGATTTATCTTGAATTGACGAATGCTGACATTTTTGTCTATTAAGTTGTTTGGATTTATTCTAGAGTGTACTGCATCTATTTAATTAAGATTTTAGAAACGTTTTTAATTTACAATGAGTTGTAACATATGACAGCTAGATTTTCTGGATTGTACAACCGTGTATGACTTTGGCAACGAGGATTGACTTCGCGAGACTATAAATTATTTGGCATTTGTTTACAAACCAAATAGTATGCTTTTTTAAAGGGCCTATGACTCGAAAATTTTTATGTTTGCAATGACCAGAACTTTTAAAATGACAGTGTACTTTCTAAAACAGTTTATGCATACCACTTTTAATTCTTGAGATGTTGAGATTTATGCTATGTCCGATTTATCTCACTTGTGACGTCAACCTAATGAGAGTTAGGAGTATTAGGTACATTTGACGATACTTTACTTCACAAGGAAATAGTTCCCTTTGTTGTGGCGTATTTAATGGTATAAAATTCTGCCTATTAGTATCAACCTAAAGTTGTCAGGAAATTGAAAAGTATTAGAAAAATTTTTAGAATTCATTATGCAATATGACGTCACAAGTTGGATGAAATAGAAATAACAAAAACTTCAATATCTCGCGAAGGAAAACAGATATGCATTATCTGTTCAAGAAAGTACAATGTCATTTCAAAAGTTCTGGTGATTGCAAACATAAAAATTTTCATGTCATGGGCACTTTAAACGTCATAAGTAATTTTACATTTCCAAGTATAACAATGGGCTGAATTGTAAGGGATATTTTATACCACTTAGTAAGTTCGTATGCTTTATAACTAATGAAGCGGTAGATAAAGCTGATAAATCGCCTGCTGAAATTTACTATCCACCAGCTAGAGGACCACCTTCCACTTGAGGGAAACGAATGTAAATTATAATCCCATTTACCCTCAAAATTGAATGGAAGTGTCAATAACCATTATGAACATTTTTATAAAGCTAAAATTTCATTTAATCAAATTGAAGCATTCGTATGTATTATTATATGCCATGAAAAATGGCTATTTTTTCTACACATAAGCTACATAAAAAAAATCATCTTCTTTACTTTAAAGACTTCTTCCGAGTGAATGAATTTCAAGAAATTCGTTTTCAGACTGGACCGCATACATTTGCCAATAAAATTATAGCTGAGAACATAATTATTTTAAATATAGGTATAGCCATAAATGCCTTTCCTATGACAATGTACAATTTTGGATGTTTACGTCAGAAATTTTTTAAAAACTTCAACTATGATAAGGGCATTTCTAACACAAGAACAGTGTATTGGGAATCGAAACCAAAGACTAAATTGTACCGCTTCCAAAGGATGTGTGTGCCATTTTTGGTAAATTAAAGCTGTTTAGAATAAATTGAACAGATCATCAATTCGTAAAATAATTCAGAAATTTTATCTTCCGAAGATTGTCAGACGGTCAAAAATGGTTCATGGTCACGTCATTTATCTCTAGCACGTACTCTAAAAACTTCTTTTACAAAATGAATTCTGTCTTTAGTTTTGATGATTTGTACATTGTAATGTTTACTTAAGTTTAATTATATTTAAAAAGAAATGTCACATTATGACGTGGCGTTTGTAAATGTCAAGCGCATCACTGACTCAGAATTATTTATTATCAAATCTTTTCTTCGTGTAAGAGCCCAATTTTTATAGTGGATAATTTGAAACAAAAAATGAAACTTACTTTCTACTCGTGGTATTAAATATAGCTTTAAAAGTCACTTATAGAATCATTCAAACGATTTTCATTTGGAATGGAAATAAACATTCATTGTTTATAGTCATACTTCATACTACCCAATGCTTTGGTATCAAATTTGTTAAGTTAGAATTGTAAATACAAAATCTAGGTTAAATTACGTAAAATTACCTTTGTTTTAGAAATAGGACTTCATATACGACGATCGTGTGGACAAAATTATGCTTGCTTTAGTTCTTTACATGTTACGTACCTAACAAAAGATAAGAAATTTAAAATAAAAACGCACTACATACATATCACTTTAAAAAATGATGATCATAATCCATACCTTACTGTTACATCAATCTTTTATCCATGTACGTTTTGTTACATAAACACTTTCAAATAACGAACGAAGATGAAGAGTGAGCCAGGATCTCCTTCAACAAATAGTATTATAAAACATTAATGACATCTATGTAGAACATTTTAGTTATATAACTAAGTGTACATCACTGACTAAAAACCATTTGTTATAGAAATAAAAATACATCATAACCTCATGCAGAGTACATAATAATATTGAGATTAGTCAAATTCCAAAGGACTACTGCTAAATCTTATAAAGTTTCACAAGTTTTAACTCAGGAATAGATGATCACCGATCTAAGACAGGATTTTAATGTCAATGATTACGACACGATTTTGCAAACTGTGTCATGCACGTTGCATGATAAAATCGCTATTTTTTACAACGAAGTCGTCAAAAGAAAAACACTACATAATTCAACAACAACAGCATCTCGAATTCTTTTATTTTTAACAACAACTCACCTCTTTTGTAATAATCCTAAAGTGTCAATCACGTGAAATGCACGCGCAACGTCACAACAAAACAAAATAAAAAACAACTGTTCATCACACTCCCGACGTTGATCATATTGATCAATTTATTTCCACGAGTTTTTACTATTTGACTGTCGCAATAGGTCTCCAATCACGGCTGCCGTTCTTCGTTGTCGGGTTTTCATATAGTTTTCGTCATTAGACTCAATTCCACTGGCGGTTTGGGAGCCACGGTATTACCTGGAGGCATATTCAACTCAAGTGGCATCAGTTGTTGTATATGACGACGTAGTTCTGACGATCGAGCCTTTGTAGTACTCGCAACACAGACCTTTGCTGCTCGAACAACACCATCCTGAATTACTATGAGCTCGGTAACTCTTGCCAATTTCCTCAAAATTCGAGGGGAAAGATCATTTTTTAACACAAAAACATCACCGACAGCTATCTTCTCCTTCTGTGCTCCATGAAGTAAGCGGGAAGTCTCTCTGACGCTTAAAAGATATTCCGTTCTCCAACGATTAATAAATTGATCTAACAAACGTTTCTGATATTTCGCCATTCTGGTTAGAGTTCGATTCGTACTGATGATTTCAAATTGTCGATCACTAGCCGTAAGAGTAATTTCCCGTCCGTAAATTAATTGAGATGAGTCAGAGGGTAAGAAATTCCTTCTTGGTCATCATAGATATATGCAAGTGGACGATTGTTAATGGTAGCCTCAATTTCTACCAAAATGGTTCTAAGCGCTTCAAAATCCATTGAGGATTGACCGAGAGTTTTCTTTAAACATCTCTTTGTACTTTGTATCATTCGTTCGTAGAATCCTCCTTGCCAAGGTGCCTTTTCAATGATAAATTCCCAATTGACACCCTTGGAAGCCAGTTCGCGTTGTATGTCATTTGATCTCAGTATATTAGCAACTTCCCTTGAGGCACTTTTGAAGGTCTTGGCATTGTCTGATATTAGTCTGGAAGGCAAACATCTTCGTGAGACAAACCTTCGGAAAGCTTGCAGAAACGATAGCACAGACAAATAACAAACAAGTTCAAGATGAACCGCTCGAGTGGAGGCACAAGTGAACAAACAGATATATACCTTATCCATTTCTTGATTGTTAGTAGCGTATAAGGGGCCTGCAAAGTCAATACCGATGTTTGAAAAGGGAGGCTCTTCGCTTACTCGACTTGATGGCAAACATGCTTCCTTCGCTGTTGGGAAAGCTTTACCTTCGAATTTCTTGCATTTGATACATCCACGCACAACACCCTCGACGCACTCTCGACCACGCAAGATCCAGTATTTCCTCGAACGCAATTTAGAGTTTCTCTAATTCCTTCGTGGTGTACTATATTGTGACAGTCGCGTATAATTAATTTCGAAAAGGTATGTCTAGGGGCAACAAAATCGGCTGTTTTGCACTATCAGGTAACGTAGAGTGGGCAATTCGACCTTCACACCGAATAATCTGATCATCATCGAAAAACAAACCAAGTTGTTGAACTCGTACATTTTTACGACCGGTTCGAATACATTGTAACTCGTCAGAAAACGCGGCTGACTGAATACTTCGGATCCATAATCTCTCAGCTTCGAGTAGCTAATTAGCATTCAACTCAGACGTAACAGAGTATAGTTGGTTTCTTGATTTCTTGATAAACCTTAAAATTTGTGCTGTGACGCGAAGTAGTTTGTTCTTTGTACCATATCTGTCTGGTCAATAATCTTCTCCAAGTGGATGCAATTACATTCAGGAAGCGATGTTAACGTCAAGGAATGTGTTATTGAAAGAGGATTTTGTATTATCTCTGTGTAGCAATGGTCCTCATCCAATTTTGTCGGTTAAAGATCTTCGGGCCAATTTCCTTCAGTATCTTGTAGAAACTGCGGACCATTCCACCAGATTCCAGATTGCACAAGTTCACTTCCGGAACACCCACGAGAAGGCAAGTCGGCAGAGTTTATTACCCCAGGGCAATGTCTCCATTTATAACTACTAGTTAACTTTCTGATTTCGTTTACGCGGTTCTGTACATACGACTTCCACAGTTTATGATTTCGAATCCAACACAATGCGGTAAATGAATCCGTCCATAAGATAATATCAGTAATACATTTTATTGAAGTCAACGTTTTCACAATCGAATCGACTAATCTTGCTAAGGTAGTTGCGCCTAACAATTCGAGTCGTGGTAAGGTCTGTCGTTTATAGGAGCGACTCTTGTCTTGGCTGCTATTAAATTCACTTCAATTTCACCGTTTTTATGTTCCGTTCGTAGATATACAACTGCGGCAAAGGCAAATTCTGATGCATCGCAAAATCCATGTATCTGATGAATCGGAGATGAATCGTATCCACCATGGAAGTAACAACACGGTACTCGTATGTCACTTAAAGCCCTTAAGTCGTGAACGAGAGAATTCCAACGTGATAAGGCCTTGCCAGACAGATCTTCATCTCAATTACTGCCAGAAGAGCAGAGGGTTTGAAACATCTTCATAGTGATAGTGAAGGCTGCAAGAAGGCCAATAGGATCGAATATCTTCGCAGATAGCTTTAAAACTGACCTCTTCGTTGCAGGAAGTGATTTTGCATAATGCACTAGCTCTTCAAGATCATAACAAAGCTCGTCGCTGTTCTCATCCCAGCTGATTCCTAGAATTTTGATACGGTTCTCTTGAGGTGTGGACTTAAGTTGTGGCTCTGTATGAGGCGAAGGAGGTTTTACTAATTTGTCTTCCACCATCGTACTTGGTATATGTTTAGCATATGATGACCACTTTTCATTTTCCACCTCAACAAACGGTCGTACTTCATCATTCGCGATAACATTTCGGACATGTTGCGAGTTTGAATGCCATTTTCGAAGCTTGAATCCTCCCTCGCTCATTAATTTTCGAGATCTATGATAGATGTATAGAGCTTCGTCCTCATTAGAAGCTCTACCAGCGAAATCGTCAACATATAACGACTCGATTAATAAAGAGACTATTTCTGGATCGACATTCTTGTAGCTCGAAACGTGGTGATGAATAACAGTAGATAATATTGCAGGACTTGGGGTTAGACCAAATGGTAGGCGTTGGAACTTGTATTCCTTTAGCATCGGTTGAACTTGGTTAATATCATCAAACCAAAGAAACTTCAGCATCTTTCTGCCTTCGGGAGCAATTTGTATTTGATGAAAAGCCTTTTCGATATCAGCAACAAGCCCAATGGGGAAGCCTCAAAAGTTTATCATGGTGTCAAATAAACGTGGAACCAAATTTGGTCCCTTTTCGAGGCAATCATTGAGTGACTGCTCTTCCTTAATAGCTCTTGCCGAACCATTGAAAACCACGCGAAGTTTTGTAGTTTCCTTATCTTCTTGAAGTACGCCATGATGGAGTAGGGAACAACCGGTTTCATGTGCAATAAGAACTGGGTCAATAGTTCCTCCTTTCACTTGATCTTTGATAATTGTATCGTATTCTTGCAATAAGGGTTTATCTTTATCAAGACGACATTTCAACTGGTGTAATCGTTTCAAACACATACCGTAACAGTCTGATTTTGGAATATATTTCCCCCTCCAAGGTAAGTTCACTTCATATCTCCCTTCATCCTCCAGTTATTGTATATTCTTCAGAAACTCCTGATCCTGTGATTCGTTGGATTCTTTGATTCCCATTGATTCGATCTCCCAAAACCGTTTCAAGCATTCATGTAATATGCGTTGTCTCTTGTCAAGCGGAAATTCCTTTGAAAAAGAGTAATCTTCGATGATTAAAATAACGTTTGATAATTTCGAATTAGTTTCACCATCATTCGTCTGTCCAGTGATAATCCAGCTAAATTCACTATTAATCACAACAGGACCACCTTCACTTCTTATAATCTCGCCTGTCATGATATCAAATAATAATCTGCTCCAATTAGAATGTCGATGTTGCTGTCCGTCTGTCGTCCAGAGGATATTGGTATCGGAAAGCTGCAACTCCATCAGATGAGGATAATGATTGAGATCAATTGTCGTTGTTAATGGAGAGCAAATATTTGGGAAGCAAAGAGCTGTTATGATTCGATTTCCATTCTTTCCTTTCAGGGACAAATGAACCAAGTCGCATTTTTGCTTTGTAAAATGTTGGTTGCCAAAGGTATTTAAGTTAACAACCTCTTTTCTGATGGGAACTAGTCCAAGCCGGTTTTTTAACGAATTCGTAACATAAGTGCGCTGACTACCGCTGTCCAAAAGCACGCGAACAGGTATGGAAATGGAACCATTCCCACCATTGGCGTATGTAATAGCTTTTTGCAGAAGAACTTGATTACGCGTTTTTGCCGTATTCGTCGTTAAGTAATTATCTCCGTCAATAATAGTAGCTGTGCGAACGTTGTTTCCTTCCTTGGTTTCTGGTAGGTTGTTTCCAGTGGGGGAAAGTTTGGGATCTTATGCATTCTTTTGTTGAGGAGGCGTAAAACTTGACTTAATCACTTCACAAATCGATTGATGATGAGCCCCATGACAACGTCTACAATTCTTCTTTGACTCGCAATTTTTACTGAGATGCCCGATTCGCAGGCATACAAAACAACGATTGTCTCTCCTCAATATACTCTTGCGATCATTCACATCAGTTACTCTATCACACGATGCTGAAAAGTGTGGCTCTTTACAATAAACACATTGAATATGTTTACCTGAAGTATTTTGAGTCGAAAAGGCGTTCACCGTAGGTATTCTGGCAGTTTGGTGCTGACCTCATGAATTTTTTCCATGCTGTGGCTGTGGACTTGATTGCACTCATTCACTTATCTCCCATGCCTTGATCTCAGTTTTTATTGTATCCAACAACTCATCAATTTTCCAAACGTCTCCCGACGATTTTTGGGCAATTTGTAGACGAATGTCACTAGGTAATTTAGTCACGATAATCGGGATAAGCATACTACCATATTGTTCAGAAGAAACGCCAAGACTCGATAATCCTCGTACATGAACGCTTACTTTACCGTATATGTATCTTACTTGGCTAGTTCTACCGTTGGCACAAGCTTGAATCTTTAAAATTTCATCCATGTGAGCTGCTATGGTTTGCTGGGTTTTCCCGAAGCGATCGTTCAAGATTTTTACAGCTGAGTCGTAATTGGCATTAGTTAATGTTAGACCTTTTGTGGCCCTCGCTGCGTTTCCCTCGAGAAGCGATTTCAGATAGTTGAATTTGTTTACCTTCGAAATGTTTGGATTACTGTGAATCGCAGAATCATACAGATCCCAAAACGAACTCCACTCTGAAACCTTGCCACCATATTTCGGATGCTCCAGCTTAGGAAGCTTCGGCCTATTTGATTTAAATTGAACCGTCGTCGTAGTGTTGTCACTCGTTACATTTCCTTCGTTTACAATTTCGCTCGTCGCTTGATTACTTGAACCTTCGATGAAACAATAGTTTTCCGTCACATTTTCCACATTTTCGTTAGAATTCTCTATACTTTCGTTTTGGCCAGGGTTTGACATGTTCGTCAAATTCGAATTCGATATGGTATCGTTGACATTCGTATCAACGAGACTGTCATTCTTAGCGCATTTAATATACCTTTCGATTTTTCGTTTTATACTCATAACTCTATCAGAAATTTCGGCCGAGTCCTCGATTTCACCTTGCATTTCATTGACATCACACGTGTTCAATATTTCTTCGTCGAGTTCACATAATATTCTTAGTTTCCCTTCGAGTTGTTGAGCGATGATTTCGCTACGTTTTACAAGATCATCATGTGGTGGCTGTGACAACATTTCAACTGACTCTTTCTCGAGCTTTGTACACACTCCGCGATGTCCTCTTCTTCTAGCACGAAGCCTTTCCAGTTTTTCCTTCTCTTCAGTCGACATTTTCGTAAGAAACGAATATGGGCGACTTTATTTCGTTAAAGCCGACACATGTTGGGCGCCATGTCATGCACGTTGCATGATAAAATCGTTATTTTTTACAACGAAGTCGTCAAAAGAAAAACACTACATAATTCAACAACAACAACATCTCGAATTTTTTTTTTTTTAACAACAACTCGCCCCTTTTGTAATAATCCCAAAGTGTCAATCACGTGAAATGCACGCGCTACGTCACAACAAAACAAAATAAAAAACAACTGTTCATCACAAACTTTAAACGGATTTTTTAAATTCATTAATCAAAACTTCCATATTTGGATATTGCCACACAAGTCACTTCATATTGTCAAAAAACTTTTGTTGTTAAATAAACCTTTGTAACTTACGAATACATTTCAACAATCAACTGCACGCATTATAATTACTTTGCTATGAGAAAAAACACTGTCGATACAACAGTAAAGGATGTAATGAAAATATTCATTAAGATAATGCTAGTTTCAGATGTGCAGGGACGCTGAGAAGCATATTGTAGTTAAAAAATCTTAATCTCAAACTATCTACTATCAAGAATAATCTCTGTATATTTGGTGTTATCATTTCTCTCTACATCATGGGGAATGTATTTTGTACAGGCATAAAACATCTCACTTCATGGTAGGGGAGAAAATTGTCGAATGGTGTGTGCTAATAATATTGGGTTAAGCATATTACCGTGAGTAATATAAAAATTCTTCACATTGCTCATGTCAAAAGCAATATTTAAAGTAAAAAGGATTTCTTAGTGAAATGAAAGAATCATGGAATTTTCATTACGTACGCAAATCACACTACCATACTTTATAAAATCATTTTTTATTCTCGCTAAGTTGGTTGATGCAGACGATTGAAAAAATTTGTCTTAGAAGATCTGACTGAGCAGAAAACTGGCGTACAAATTTTTTTTTCAAAATGTATGCCATTATATTTATTAAACGCAGTGTTTTGGGAAATATACCCAAAGGCCGAGAAATAAAAATTAAACGTAAATATTAATGATAGCTACAATAAATAATGTTATGACAAATGACTTCGCTTGGCCCCAAATGTGGACACTGTTTTTTTCCAAAACAAAACCAAATGGGAGGGAAAACCGGTGCACCCGGTAAAAAACCTCCAATAAATAAAGCGATCGAAATTTAGAAAAATTTCCTTAAATTTTCGTAGTCTTAAAATGTTTCATATTTTTGTTGTTTTCAATGATCCCGATGATCTACTTTAACATGCAGCGTAGTGAGATCGTAGCTTCGTCGTTCGTATCTTTAATTTGCAAAGCGACAAAAAAAGCGTCGACTAAAAAAGCGGACTGACTGTCCTATTTATTGACACCGCTAATATTTTGTGTTTGAACAAAAGAAACTAAAACTTTAGTAGAGAACAAAAAATGAAAGAGTGCAGAGTGTTAACAAAAATTTTAATAAATAGAAGAAAAATAAAAACTATTAGTAGCCATACATAAATCATATCAAAAATTATTCAGTGCGTACGACCTGACCATTCACCTTATAATAACAATTAAAAATGAAATAACCAAAGTGACGTCGTGAAATGCATACAAATTATTTTTGATGTCTATTAGATTTCATTCGATCAAAATTTCTATGTTACTTCATTAAGACCTTCATTAATAGCTAGCTTTCACTTGTGTGTTTTGTCCGAAAATTTGACATTGTGAAAGTTTAGTTTTACGGAAATTTTTAACGGTTGATATTTAAAAATGCGTTATAATGATTAATAGGTGCATAACGAAAGTCGCAAGTGGGAAACTTTTAATAAGGACGCTTATTTCTTCCTGCTTCTGTCCAACTTGATCGTTCGTTCAACGTCTAGTTATTACCCCTACAGACATAGCTACTCTTTAAAAAAAATTATAAATGTCAGCAAAATGAATGAAAAAAATCAGAAATTATATATTTTAAAATGAACTAAACTTTAATACCTGATTTTCAAGCATTGTCCTGGTCCGTCGGATCCAGGCGTCATAGTAGGTCTCTTCCACTTTTTTCACAGAGCAGTTTTTACGTGTATATCGCAGTAATTTATTGTAACATTTTTATCTTAAAAATTCAATGAACCCTACTTGCAGCATTGCAATTTTGTTTATAATGTTCTAATAAAATTAGTAAAAAGTAGAGAGTGAAAGCCAGCTATTTTCTTACAGCAATTGACATCTTTTGTCGACATTTTTTAGCTAATATGGGTGTTTTTCACGAATACGATTCAAATTATAAAAATAGACCATCAGGATCATTTTTAAATATCTCATGCAGTTACTCACAGCTGTAAGTTAATTTTAAAACTCATCTACTCAACTTACAAACCACAAGACATAGATCATGTTTTTCCACTCGCTTGTTTTCCATCTTCGTGGATTATAGTCCAATCATTTCAATGTTAATGTTCACACGTACAAATGCCGTTATGCAATGTCCATTCAATACGTTTATACCATTCCATACACAAAGTAATCAACGTAACCAGATAGGGGCTACTGGTATTATGAATCACCATTTTGATAGATTACTGTTTACAATGAATTCTTATGGTAACTTCAAGTGAAGGAAAAGGGATCACTTCAATACCCCAGTTATATCATCACTCAAAGAATGCTTAGTGCAGATTTGATCACCTATGAATGTCAGCTGACCACCTTTAAGTGGGCTCATATAACAATGGGGTCCATCATCATTATATGAACAAACAACTGACATCCACAAAGAATCCAAACTGCAAATGAACATTTTTGGCAATGAATCACCATGACACATGAGTAATGAAAAGCTAGTAAGAGTAATTGAAGTGAATGCCACAGGTGGTAAAGGGACTTTCACAATTCTACCCATGTGGGATCTACAATATAAGAAAATATGAAACATATGTACGACATTTCATGATGAAGAAATCTACATATGACGTTACTTTGCGTTTTTAAATTCTTAATCAGATATTTTAGGGACCTTAAGATTTCACGACGCGCGTTATAACGACGCAAGTTTGGCGCGCATGGCCTGGTGCGAATGCGTCCGCGTGTCATTGTAAGTTAATTCATTAAGATTGGATTTCCTTAACGACGCGAACTTGTGAGTTCACTACCTATACTTTCAAAAAAATGGCCTCCTTCAAAAAAACAAAACATGCTATAGCTGTTGCGTATGACGCCGCTTTGATAAACGAAGAAGAATTTGCGCTTTCGTATGATATTTCGCGTTCAAAGAACAATTTAGAAATTTATAGTGGCCAAAATTGATATATCAGTACTGTTATTACAAAGTAAGACAAATTTCAAAGCCACTGGATGTTAATTTAGCTAAACAATTAATTTAAATCACGATGAATTTAGTGGTGTGCTTGATGAGCAATCACTTGATGCTGATGAAAACTGTTCTGCCATTTTCTTGCCTTGCTAAAAGCAAAAATGTAAACATATTTTACTCACAGATAAATATCAACACATCAATCACATACCAGACTCCACAGACAATTGTAACAGGTGAATTAAAAGCTGAAATACTTACTTTAAAACTTTTTTTGTGAAAAATTCCACACTCTATGTAAGACGACGTGGGATTAAGCAAAGACGCCGCGTTGTAGAAGCAAGACAAAACTCAACGACGCACGCACATGCGCATTGGTTTAAAATTCATTTCCGCTCGCGTTGTAGATGAGCGCGTCGTTAAATCTTAAGGTCACTATTGAGAATAAGCAAATTGTTATATGTTTTCTGTTTGACTATCCAAATGGTAGAACATTCACCAACATTGCACGATTAGCTTTAGCCGGTTAAGTTTGAAAGATGTAACATGTTTCAAACGATCAAAGGCTTTGCATCGTTATCAAAGCATTTTACATTGAAAGCTTTCATATTACGAGGCCTACCATTAAGACTAGTTGATTATTCCATGCAACTCATACTGCAGTACTTCGTCAGTAAAGAGACAGAATTTACATTACTTTCTACAATGTTTAAATGACTAGTTTTTCGTTGTTAACATTTGTTTAATTTTCGTCTTGAATAAAATTTTTTATTTAGATTGGCTCCTTAGGAGCTTTTCACCTTTCACAAAGACAATAAGTAATTATCCTTCGACGTATTTAAATAAAAAAAATCATCAGAATCTACAGATTTTTTGTGTTTTAATGTCGGTATGCAAAGCAAAGATGCATGATGTTTTAGGTTAAGATTCGTGAGACGATAATGAATTTATAAACTAGACCTTAATTTCGTCCAAATATTAATTGAGTCTTGCAGTCATGTCTTGCTGGGTTAAGGTTAGGATCGGGTTTAAGGGCGTTCTGTTTTCCCCGAGATTCTACTAATAAAAATATAGTAGAGAGTCGTAGAAAAACGAGAAAAAAAACAATTACCACTCTCGTTTATTGCAAGTCTACAGCTTAATCTATGAAAACTGCGCTCATCCAAATAGTGCATTGGAGACAGATTGCAAATTTAGTGTATTTATATTCATTGCATATATTCAGCTATAAATAATGTGATATTGAAGAAACAAACCAGAAATCAGTAATATCAATAAAAACCATTCAGAGTTTCAAAAGAACAATAGAGATAAATCCAAAAACAAATTATCATTTATCGTCCGTTTAGTCACTTACATTTGTAGTTTCCAGCCGTAGGATTTTTTTCATACATGATTTTGAAACAAGGATTTTCCTCTTTCAAATTTCTTTTTGCTGCTGCTATCAACATTTAAAACGTAATACTGATAGTATTTATCTGTACATTGGCTTTCAAATGTTTAAATATGTGCTGTATGTCCTTGTTCAGTAGCATTCAGATATTGGCTGTCTTGATTTTTTATCAACACGTTTAAATACATTTGCAATTAAATGAGACGTGTTTCGGTAACTTGTCTTCGAGGAGAGTTGAAGGCAACAACTTTATCTTGCTTGGCACAATCTCAAATCTTTATACTTGTCATCTATTTGTAAAGTGTTGTTCCATCTCATATATGAACAACATCTGCTTTCCATGATGCCTCGTGGTTTATATGTGGCTTGAAGTGAATAGTATCTTTATAAATATAGTTGAGCATGTCATTATATGTATTTGTTCCACAAGATTGTTTAACTTTCTGGGAGCCGTGCCTTTTTAAAAGTTCGTACACATCCCGTTTGGTGATTGTTGCCTGTGAGCAACAACGGCCTCTATAGGGTTAAAATTCATTGTTTGTACTTGAACAAATTACGGGATATCTATGAAATCTAATTTTTAAAAACAAACGTATTGTTGCCAAACAAAAGAACTATGCTCTCCCCACATAAATATATATGAAATGCTAGTAACAATTGACCATTTTATAGCGATTCTACGCCAATTATTTATCAATTAAATGATTCAGCCTATTAAATAACGCTAAAATTATGATTTTAGGCGTGAAGATGTTGGTGACATCAATCAGAACGCCCTTAAACCATTCTCACAACCTTAACTTATCAAGATATGACTGCAAGATCCAATGAAGATTTGGTCAAAATTAAAGGCTAGTTTTTAAATTCATTAAGGTCTAATGAATCTTAACCTACCCTACAACATCATGCATCGTTACGTTTGCACAACGACAATAAAACGCAAAAGAAATCGAAAGATTCTAACGATTTTTTTATTTAAGCGCGTTGAATGAGGTCAAAACGTGGTCTCCCCTTATATTTACAACTACAGATTGAAAGATTTGGTGAAAAAATCCTAGTTTAAAGATGATTTCTTTTGTTTGTATTCAAATTATAAAAATTGACCACCGTGATCCTTCATGATAGCCTCATATTCATGTAAACAAAATTTAACACATATGAACTCACTTAAGTTCTATAAAACCTGGATCATGTTTTTTCATTCTCCACTTTTCATCTTTATAGAATATAGTCATTTTTCATAACTCAATGTAAATGTTCACATATACAAATGACTCTATACAATGTTCTTTTAATAACTTTATAATATCCATTAATGGTGTGACCTCCATATTTAACCTATACAGCACAGATATCATGGACCGTCCTTTCAGAACATATTTACCACTTTAAATTTAACCTTTTAGTGGCGAATTGTAAAACCATTCACATTACATAGATTATAACAAGACCTGTTGATTTCTTTCATAAATTTCTTACTTTGCCAGTAAATACACAGTACTTACATTTCATCTCCACAAAGTTAAATGGACCTGACTAACGTTAAAGCACAAAATAGGAAATGAACAGAAGGCCAACTCAGGGGTGCGATGTATCCCAGATTTTTTTATGCGCTTACCTCAGATCTGCCATTACTTTGGCTACGACTGCGGACTGCGAATGCTAACTACTAAAAATTATACCGTCAAGTGGAATATTTGGGTAAGAGAATCGCGCTTTTAAAGACAAATGGACAGTATTTACATTGTATTTTGAAGTTCTGATAATTAGAACGCAGATTTCAAAAGTAAACCTTCACAATGTGTAAATTAATGTTCGCAAAATACAATTATATACAAATTCCTTTGCCAGTAATTGCCAGAGTAACGGCAGCCGTCGAATTTTTAGCATGCGCAATGAGACATGCGCGAGGTCACTGACTTCAAAGGCTCCGACATTAAATTATCCTTCTGTTCATTTCATTTTCTATGGTTAAAGTAAACACATGCGAATTTAAATACTTTAAAGCTTCTGAAATTAAGTAAGGGTTAGAGCAGGATTACGTGTGTTCTATGAGATTAAGAGTCCGAGCACTAGATAGAAATTCACGACGGCGCAGTCAGAGTTTATTAGCTCCGTCTACACGTATCCGTATTCATTTGTATCCGCAAACAATTTGTTCTGGATTCAAAACTTTACGCGCCACATGTATGCAAATTTGATGCGTTTTTGTGTGTCCACACGTAGCTGCGAAAACGATACAAATACCCAACTATTGCTTACAGAGCATGCGCTTTTACGAATAATGAGCTGGCTATAAAATGTCGAATTATCCCACAAAAACTACTGCTTCAAGTTCATCAAAGGTAAGAATGAAGCTTTTATGTGGACAGATGATAAAGTGAGCCTTTTATTAAGTGTCGTTTTAGAATATAAAATAGCGAAAATGTTTAAGGACACACTTCTGGGATTGAAAACAGCCATATAAGAAATGCTCGCTCTCTTTCTATAATTCTTTTGATAATTTAAGACGGCAATAGTAAATTGCATAAACATAAAAATGCTCAAAAGTAGCGCATTTAAATTAAAAAGAATCACTTTAGGCACCATCTTAATCCATAGGATAATGCACGATAAATGTGGATTGGTCAGCGTTTTTAAATCATTCCAGTTACAGTGCATCTAAACGTGTTCGGATTCGATGCGTTTTCAATGACAGCTGTTATGAGTATTTCTGCAGTATGCCAAGGTTTTAAGTAAAGGTCATTGTTGTTATTTTCCATTTCCATAATGTGTATTCTGTTTTGTTTACAGTTAAAATAACAGAATTATCAGGTGATACAGCT